CTTTCCTCCTTGGCTGATGTTACCGCATACTGGAGCATGGGTCACTTAACCTATATATTAATTACCTTGAAGTGCCCTATGTTCTAAGATTCTGACTTGCAGTCTAGGGGCTATAATGATAGCTGCCATATAATTCTTTGTGCAATGAGTGTCGCTAGAGCTTTAGTATCCAGGTCGCTGGAAGGTGAGGATGTAGTATTTAGGCATTCTCAGCCTTCTGTGTGAGTAGAGACTCTTGCTGGCTTACACAGTGAATACTACTTTGCTTGGGCACAGCTTTCTTGAGAGGAGTGTATTTAAGGTGTCAAGCCTTTCTGCTGGTGTCTTGCATCTGGGTTCTGCTACTCCTTGAGCAGTTGAGAGCTGCTTGGAAATGGGCATCTCGGAAACAGTCCAAAGTTGTCTGTTTTCTGGGTTTTGTGCTAACTTAGTCTCCCAGAATTGCTTTAGTTTACCTACGCTGCCATATTATGTGCTGTTTAATCATATACAGAATATTCTGTAATGTCATGTTTTTCCTTCATTTTTCAAGCCTTGTGTGGATTCCTCATTCTTTATCTGATTTGCACATTTTGGTTTTTGTCCACAAGCGTGACTGTGTGATACACAGCAATCCTGCATTCTGCTCTTGTTCTTTCAGTGTTGATGCTACAAAAGAAACTAATCGTCTGGGAAGACTGATTAATCACAGCAAATGTGGCAATTGCCAAACAAAGCTTCATGACATTGATGGTGTGCCTCATCTCATACTAATAGCTTCCAGAGACATTAAAGCGGGTGAAGAACTGTTGTACGACTATGGAGACAGAAGCAAAGCTTCCATTGAAGCTCATCCATGGCTGAAACACTAATTCATCTTCTTTGGGTTATTTTTGGGGTTTGGTTTTTTTTTTTTGGACTGAGTGCTCTACAAGGAGTCAGTGGATTATTTTTTTTCCTGTCCTCACTTCCCTCAGCTTTCTTAGTGGACTGCTTATGGTGTTCTGAGCTCCTTAAAAACTACCCTTTTGCTTTGCAATATTTAAATACCTATTACAGTTTTCCAGGCAGGCTTCTTGAATAATTGATCTTAGATTGCCAACACTTTTATATCATAAAAGGAAACCCTCCCTAAAATTTGAATACTTCTACATAGTGACCAGTGCCACTTGAGCATGCAGTCAAAGACTTGCACAGAAACGTAATCGCTTGGGTTGTGCTTCTGCTTTTGCAGTGAAATCTCATGCTCCGCTTTGTGGGGTGATGAATTTGGCATTAGCTTTATGACAGCAGATGTACTTCTGTACTCTGACTTGTACATCCAATGGCTTGACTGCTTCTTACAACCCAGTTCTGACAGGCTTCTCGGAGATGGATGCTACTATTGTTCTCAAATAATAATTTGTGGTAGGGATCAAGTTTTTCCAGTGTCATATCTCATGTTGGCAATGAACTTTAAATGCACTGGCGCTGAGGGAAATGGATGGTCAAATTGGCTGCTTTCTTCAGAGAAATGACTCCAAGCCAAATGAGGATGGATTTTGATAGGCTGGGTTGATACTGATTAGAAATGTGAAGACAGAACTTCACAGTGAGAATCAATGTTTGACATTACTTATTTTCTAAAATTTAAGATGGTACCTTTTCATAGTTGATGGCTGATTCTTGGAGGTGTCTTCCAGAGGATTTTAAAGAAGTAAAAGAAAAAGCTCTCTCCAAAAACTTTTTTATTACCTTCCTATGCTAATTAGCCACACCAGAAACTATTTATTTACTGTGAATGCTTGAAGTAAGCATAGCGGTTCCAAAAATAGGAGTCATCTTCATATGCAGCTTCAGACTGTAATGATGGAGTTCATGCAATGAAGAAAGTAGATTCCTTATTGCCTGGTCCTGTAGGTCTGTCCAGCGTGGTCTGGTCCCACTGTATTAAATGGGAGTTGAGCGCTTAGCATCTTGCAGATGTTTGTAACGTTACTGTTGGAGAACCAAATCTGTGATATAGGCAGGCAATGCAATGCAGGTCCTTTATGTTAAAGATGAATTCTTACCAGTTGGAATTTTTGCCAAGGCAGGCTTGGCATGTATGTAGATGAAAATGGCTGTGAGCCATCAGCCACGCTTGCTGCTGGAAGATGTCAGCAAGGGATCTGTGGCTCTGTTAATGTCTTCTGTTCCTCATGTCTTGAAGGCTGCTGCTGTTCCAGCTAATGCCCTCTAGGACAATCTTATATGCTTGCCTATGTGATAGGTCAAATAGCAACAACATCCTGGTTGTATGCTCCAGCAGCAAGAGAGGTGGCTTAGTGATGTATTTTTTAAATTAAAAACTTGAAGACAATGTCTCTGTAAAATAAAGAATATATTTATTATTGATGAAGTGGCTGCTATTGTACCTGTCTCCATTGCAGATCATTAGCATTTTGAAAGAAAGCTGTGAAAATCATTAGTCATTAAATGCTTTATATTATTTACCACTTAACACAAGGCAAGCTCATCAGAGACCGCCTGTGTGTTTTCACCATTTCTGAAGAGTTAACTGGAGACCTGTTACCTTACATGTACTGAGTTACAGGTAAGGTTCGTTGGCTGACCTCTTTGAGTTGGCACTGATTTTTCTCTGGTCTCAGTAACAGAGACTACAGTGGTGTACAGTATCATGTTTCACTAAAGCACTTCCCTTAAGTCAAAATTGGAATAAAGTGTTTCTTTTTTTTTATTTAAACATTTGCTTGTTCTCAATCAGCATCATTTTGTAAACAGGAAAGGGGGAAGATATCTCCCTATTTTACATAAAAAGAAAATTGTCTTCTCTGAAACGCTTAACTGGTAATCAAGCAGCACTGCATCGGAAGATGGTAATAAAGCTGATGTTGCACTGAGTATGTATCCTTTACTTTTCTAGGAATTGATATTGTATATAGCATATGTATATCAAAATACTTTTCACAGAAACATGCCATTTGGATTTTTAACCCTGCACCTTATAGGAAGGTTTCATCTTCTAACAAGGTGTAAAACACTTACTTAGCAGGGAAAGACACCCCTGGGTTGGGAGCTGAACTGCTGTAGTCAGGCTCGCGTGGCTTTGCCAGAGACCGCAGGGTTGCTCTGTCAGCACTGTAGCCTTTTGTGGCGTAGCCACAGCCAAGGAATTTGCTCCCCTTTTGAGAGAGAAGCTGTGCAGCTCACTCGGCACCCGACTGGATGCAACTGTGGTGGTTCCAGAAAAAAAATAGCCCCAAAAGTTTGAGGTGCTCTCCTGTCTGCTTTAACTGGTGAACTCCCACCTTTTTTTAAAGTAGAGAACATTTTAAATAGTGAACTGAAGAGAATAATTGCAGCTTTCATTATTGTCTCCTTCCACTAACTGCAGAGAGTAGCCTGGGGCTACGTTAGTCTTCTGTGCCTCCATGGCAGGTTGTTACTTTTGCACAGCTCTGTTTAATCTGTGCAGTTTACTACCCAAAGTTGTTTCATTAAGACTTAGTAGAGTGATCAGTATGTTTTGAGCATAACTCCTCTGCCCTCCTTTTTTTTTTTTTAAAAGGAGATTGGAAAATACATCCTGGAGAAACCACAGCAGAGGATGGAGTTGAGAGCACATGTAAACATCTCTCTCCAGCGCAGAGGTGTATCCTGGCTGTTGCTGATGCATGATTGGTGGGTGGTTTTCTTTTCTTTAAACACACTGCTCAGGAAATGCAGTAACTTCCTAACTTCCTTCCCTGCTACCAGGCTCCAGAAAATATGTTGCAGGGACATGGCCAAGGCTTACTACTGTTTTGAAGGTGGCAAAATGCCTTTAACAGTTCTGTGCCCTGGCTAAACCGACTTGCTTAGGTCAGACATCTTTGTTGCCTTGCTAACGTATAGTTGTTACCAAATTCTGGCAAGAGACTGCAGTTCTGTCTTCTGCAAAGCCGCATTTGCATTGTGCATCTGAGCAGATTTGCCAAGTGTCCTATATTTTTCGTGCTGCTAGTGTAGGAGAGGGAATCAAAAGCTTTCACTGCTTTCACTTCTGAAGAGAGTAAGATCATAGTTTGATGCCTGTCACTGCTTCTTTTATGTCTGTGCAGACTTTTCTGCGCTGGAAATTCCACTTTTCTAAATGTGGAACCTCATTAGTGTGTTTCAAGCTTCTTTTCTACTCCTGTTTGCCCTATATGCTTCCACTAATGATAAATCTCATTACTTGGGCTAATACATAGCTTGTGACAGTTGATTGAAAGAACAGAGCTTATGAAAAATACAACTTCAGCTGTCAGAAATGAAACGCTTAGTGCATCTGTTCCAGTTTGAGATGTCTGCACCTCTGAAGAGACATCAGTCTTTCATGTGGGCAGAGCACAGCACAGCAGCTTTTCTGCCCTTGCTGTGCTCTTCTCCACCATCTCTCATCTCGCCCCCCACGAGCCATTTCCATGTGCGCAGGGGCTCTGGCACAGCCCGACCACGTCTTCCTTTGGTGGGGCAGGGCGTGACAGGCTTCTGCCTGCTGCCGCCTGTGCATCACCCATCTCGTGCAAAGACAGACACAGAACAAAAAGCAACGCTGGGGTTTTCTTCAAGCAGTTCTGTGTAAGATACTTTCTGCATAAGAGCAGTGGGGACTGCAATCTGAATGAGTTCTTCCTTCCCAGCTTTCCTTTATGAATGCGCTTGTGAATGGTATGTATCTCTTAAAAAATCTTCATCTTGCAAAATCATTAGGGCATTTTGATAGGTGAACAGGATAAATAAGTGGTAGTACAAATCATCACAGGCTCTTTTAATAAGAATAAAAATGACCTTTGTATAAACATTTATTCTCTACACGTGGGTAAGAAATACAAAAAGTGTCTGTCTTAAACAGTTTCTAAAGCAGCAAAGTAAAATCTATTCTGAAAGAATATTATACAACACAATTTTTATGTGATTGCTTATTCTCTACAGTAGGAGCGATGCTTTTTCTTCCAATCATTGAGTCCCCTGACTCCTCAGAGGCTTTCAACAGTGCCATTTCTGCACAGAAGTGGTTAAGTTCTTGAGGATGCTCGTTTTCCATGTTTAAAAGAGAACCTAAAAAAACCCAAAAGACAACAAAAAGGAAACAATGCACAACTGGAAAAGAAGGAACAGGCACCGAGACGGCCATGTCACTATGTTCTGCTATTTTGGGGAACTTTAGGGACGCAGCCTGAGCCTGTGGGTACTGTGTACAGCTGCTTCGTACAATGTAAACAAACCTCCAGGGACAGCTGGCATGTTCCCACAGCAGAGTCTTAATGTGCTAGCAGGGGAGGCAAGTATCACATAGTTTTGCTCTGAAATGCTTGTTTTTCATAGGAAAAAAGTGACGCCCTGCTTGCCTGGGTGGAGGATGCCTTCCCATAGGGCACTTTTTCCACAGGAAAGGATTTCTCTATTGCATTTTAATTTTACAGGGAGTGGAGGAGAAAACAATATTCAGCCAACTAGGCCAAAGTTCAGAATTCATCCCTGGATTCACTATGTATGAAACATGCCATATTCTGCCACAAAAGATGCCGACAAACTTACAGCCGTTTCATGATTGTCTTATCTTCGCTGTACTTGCTGGTGCTGGGGCTGCTGCCACTGGCTTCTTTTTCCAGTTCTTCAGTTTGGTCCTTTCTCTGTGAGATGATCCCACTGGGAAAAGAAGTGGGTTTTTTTATTTTTCGTGGGTCTGTGCATAGCATGGCATTGCATATGTTAAACCCTTCCCTGGGCAGCCTAGGACACGGGTGAATGGGCGTTCACGGGACAGGGATGGCCTGGCCTGTTTCTTGTGATAAATTGCTCTTATTTTCCTTAAATACTGCAATGTAATTTTGCTTCAGCTATGCTTTAATGAGAACGCTAAAAAAGTAACAAGCTGACTTCTCCACAGAGGAAGAATGGCAAATCATAACAGGACCAAAAGGGAAGTGTAATTATGCATTGGATTAGTACAAGAAACCAAAGGTAACAGTAGAGTGCAGACACAAATAGTGAATTTCTGCATGAGTGGATCAGTGGTACCTTCGGCACAGCCACGAAGGCTCACACCACACAGCTGGGAACAGCTGGGAGATTCCCAGAGGAATCCTATTCCATCCTATAGAGGAGAAAACAAAAGCTTCGCTCAAGCTGTAGATTTTGTCATCCTACTTCAATGCTGCTACACTCTAAGGCTGTAAATGCCTACTTTAGGCAAAAGTTTCAGTTTTACCAAAGGCTGTTTCCCCTGCTTGGAATGGGGTTAGATTTTACCAGCTTGCACGCTACGCTATGCTTTCGCGGCGTGCCAATTCACTGTCCTGAGCTGACCTCAGTTATCTTGAGAGCTGAGTGGATCAAAGCTTGAGACTGCAGTAGCTGAAGGCTGAAAGTAGCTAAGCAACACTCATCTGGACCTTGAAACTAAAAATACAAGAGAGTACTTAGAAATGGGTGTGACATCAGGCATGGGATAATTCTGAAGCAGATTCTTCTCTGAATCTGAAGAAAATCTAGAGAAATGGGACTACAAGCTGTTTGTGACACTGCAGGTCTCTAATATCTGCACGATAACTTCAGAAATCATGGTAAAAAATGCATTCCCCAAACATCATCAGTCATTTTAAGCTATTCTCTGTGAGGGTGTCAGTTATGTTGTGCTCTAGAGAGCTTATTTCCAACACACGCCAGACGTTTTAGAACATGTGTCTATCCCCTTCCCCTGCACAACGCTGCTTTATGGCTGTACAATTATAATCAGGATTTTATGTGAATGTTCAATGGGAAGATGGTTTTTGGCTTAGGCTGTAATGCTGTACAAGGAGATAATCATAGAATTACTTGAGCTGAAATGCAGCCTTGACACACTCTCTAGGTACAAAGCACTGTGACTTAAATAATTCACTCAAAAATTCAAAACATCCATACTGTTAATTTTTAACTTGGCCTGTAATAAGTTGTGAACATAGCTGGGAAATTGAAGCAAGAAGCCGTTCCAATGGCCGCCCAGCAAAGTAGGCAGCCGAGCTGGGGAAGCAGTGCCTCACCGTGCTGTGAGAAGTGCTGTCAAGCAGTTTGTAAACTCACTTGGGGATTTAACTTTAACTTTTTGGCTTAACCTGCCTATGACAGACAAGGCGAAGGGCAGGCTTACTAGATCTAAGAGGTTGTTGCTGGGATATCTCAACTGAAATCTAACGTGCCGAGACATTTTGTGTGTAGACTAAGAAATAGTTTCTTGCCCCAAAGATTTATAATACAATCTGATGATGAGGGGCAGAGTTTGGGGGAGAGCAGCCGTGGAGGAGAAGGAATTTGTAGCACCAAGAGCAAGGCCCTTCCTGCATCCCATCTTTGGCTTACACTGATTCTCCCAGGCTGGTCCCTTCTAGAGAGGCCAAAATCCTTCTCTGAAAGTACTTGCTTTGCACAGTTGAAGTGCCTTACACAACTGTTGGCAGTCTTAGAAAAAACAAACAAACCCACAGCTTATCTTGAATGATGATGAAAGCGCTTAATATTCTGCTTTCTAGATCAATGCTGTATGCCCTGTGGGAGCAAAGGAACAGTACAGCAGCAAGCTGGAGGAGGAAGGAAATTTTGACTAAAGCTGAGATGGAAACCCCCGTGCTCTTTGGTATGTAGCGTGGCTTTACACAAGAACAGTACGTCTGCAGCTGCTGCGACTGTGTAGGTGAACTCACACGCACAAGAATTCAGCTTGTACATGGAGAGGGAGTAGCTGTATGTAGGCTTACATGGTATGATTACAGCAACAGGCTGCGCACTGCATGGCGTAAGAGGGAGTTAAGTTTTAAAATTATGTTGCATAGACACTTCACCATTCCCCCATTTTTCTTTGCTCATTTGTAGGTTCTTGGGAGCACAGATGTCTCTTACATGTCTGGACAGTGCCTAGCCCAATCCAGGTGCTCGAACCTGCAACACTCTGATCCAGTAAGCTCCCCAGACGAGAAATAATTGTTATTAGTTCTTTGCTGACTTCATGATATACCTCTTATAGCACTGTAGCTCCTCTTGCACCACAAGAAGCTGAGCTTTCAGCTGGTTACGCTCTTGCAGTACGTCTCGCAGCTCCTGTAACGTGAACCGGGGGCGATTTGGATCTGTGAGGTCTATTACCATTTTATCTGGTCCAAGGCTGAGCTGTAAAATAAACAGTGGTAGTCATAATCTTGTAACCTGTCAAAAACAGTGGACTCCTAGAGTAAAAACTCTGAATTTTATAAATACATAGTAATTCTTAGAACTAGCATGAGTTCATCACAATCCTGAATTTTTTAAAACAGTTAATTATAGGTTTTCATATATCTGCATTCCCTTGGTGTCTGCATTTCCCAGCCAAGTTTAGGGCCCAACTCTTGCCACAGCTAAAATCAACGTCTCCGTCCCAAAGACTTTGCAGTCTAGTTTGCAAGAAGCTGCTTTTATCTGCTGTTCTGATGGATGAGAGAGGCTCAGCAACCTGTCTAACATCACACCAAAACTCTGCGGCAGAGAGAGGTGAGAACTGAATTCTCCTTTCCTAATTTAAGACCTTTGTGGTAATAGCTTTTTTGGGCACAGACATCAGTTTCCCGTGCACAGAGTAACAAACCCTTAGCGTTCGCATAAATGGCGAGTTGTCTTTGTGGGGCCAGTGCTGTGTAAGAGCTGCACGACGGTGAGTTTGTACTCTCTGAAAATCTGCCCATGTGTGTCTGAACTCTGTTAGCACTGCGTGTTGCTGAGCTAAAAGCGTGGTTAGTCACTACAGCGAAACAGGAGCGAGGGATCCATAGCACTGTGACTGGTAACAACTCTGAAGATCTCCGCTCTGGAAATGGCTTCAAAGCCTTCTACAGCGATGAGAAGCAAACTTTCTGAGACTCACTCTCTTGTGACGAAAGACACCGGCGATTGTGGCAAAAATATCTTCCGGCCCATCTGGTGCTATGACCCACACGTGGCCGAGCGGACAGGTCACGACCTATGGCTTGTGCCACCT